GTACCAATACTAATAGTAGTAGTAGTAGTAGTAGTAGTAGTAGTAGTAGTAGTAGTAGTAGTAGTAGTAGTAGTAGTAGTAGTAGTAGTAGTAGTAGTACTAGTACTAGTACTAGTAGTAGTAGTAGTAGTAGTAGTAGTAGCAGTAGTAGCAGGAGTAGCAGGAGTAGTAGTAGTAGTAGTAGTAGTAGTAGTAGTAGTAGTAGTAGTAGTAGTAGTAGTAGTAGTAGTAGTAGTATTGCATTGCGAACGTCTCACCGGTCCGCGATGATGGACGATAAGGCAAGCTTCGCCTTTAGCTAAGCTCGGCGACTCAAGGTCGCATCCCACTGTTGAGGATCCTTGTGCTAAGCTAGCCAACACCTCTAGTGGTGTACAGTCTCCGGCTTGCAGCTTCCTCGCATCTGAACTCAATCCAAGGCCGACAGATCAATGAAGTTTTGGACTCGTCCACGATCGGTCTCGCTGTCGACTCCGGTCACTCGCGCTGCATTCCAAGCTGTCAACGTCATATCGGTTCGCTCCAATCCTGCTGACGGGCCCTGCGTGTCAGCAGTGTTGAAGCGACCCATCGGCACAGCATGCACCCAGCCTGGCGCGCGGAGCACCTGACTGTATGAAGATTGCCTGTACTGTTCCAGCATGTACTGCAGCAAGTGGTGTGTCCTCGACCTACCAATAAGTCGCATCCACTCGTCATGCAGAGCTGAACTTGTTCACGATCAATCCTCAAGAAGGTGCGCTGGCATCGTCGCGTGTGAAAGCCTCTGGGGCAACCTGAGCAACACTTGCGATGCCTGCTGCCATAGACCACCCTGTCCTCCCGCGTGCTGGCCCCCGTGCTCTCGTGCAGCTCCCTAGACTGCAGTGCCGAGGTTGCGGTCGTATCCCAGCCGCCTGTTCCAGTGGTGATGGTCTCTGAGCTGGCCGCGCGAGCATTGTCGGCGAGCCTGGGCGCATCCATCAGTGCTCGGCTTTGCGCTTCAGCCTGTGCTCTCGCCATCAGCGTACCTGCACGGCGAGGCAGGGGAAGGAGAGAAGGCGGGGGAAACTAGACCCTAGCCAATGGGTAGAAGGTGTGGAAACTGCCATCTGCCACGTCAGTGCACCTGAACTGGAGGTCAGCTGTGCAGTCTGCGCAGCCCGGACTGCCATCCTCATACCATCGCCGCACCTTGGGTGCCACGGCAGGTTGATGTCACAGAATGGCTAGGCACATAAGGGACCATGCGCGAGCACACAGCAGTTCCTGAGGCAGTGCATCTTGTTTTTCGTCCCGGTCCGTTCCAGACAAAGCAGATGGACGCGTCATTGAGTGTCCACCCTTGTCTTAGGAATTGTTCCCCAAGATTCTATCCCCAAGAGTCGGGCACTAATGGAGAGCCGGCCAAAAGGAGGAGGAACATAGTGAGGGTGAAGTTATCTGCATCACAATAGATCGATCCGGCCACCTCTCCAGAACCCGATACCCCTAGGCACTGAAGAACGACAGCAAGCCAGCCGGTATTGCTCGGGTCCTACGTGGGGGGGACAAAGCCTAGCTGCTCAAGCGAGCGCCGCAGTTCAGGGCTCATGGCCCTGGCGTGTCGAACGGCGTAGGCCAAGAGCACCAGCCTCGAGCCTCCCTGCCAGCAACATGTGGAGTGAAGGAGCTGGCGGCTGTTGAACCGAATGGCAGAGCCGCTTGTATCGTAGCGATTGCCCACAACTAAACGACCCTCGAACTCTTCAGAGCATTGGCCCTTGGCTTCTTCGATCCATATTTCCCCTTGAAGGTAATGGCTCAACCCAATCAAGAGGACCTCCGCATCCATGTTCCCTTTGTCAACGTGTATCTTCGTGGTATTATTAGCACTCGGCGCGAGGCTCGTCCAAATGTGATGGGGCCAGCTGGCTTGGACCAGCACATTCAACAGGCGACACAAGTTGCACAGTCGTTTGGTGTCCTTGCTCATGCCAAGCAAGCCTCCCTTGCCATACAATCCCAACGTCAGAAGCTGACCCTGTGCAATGGGTCGAACATCATCGTCAATCTCGAGCACACTGGCCGCCATACGCACGGTAATCCAAAGTTGCCCTTTGCGCAGACTCAGCGAGCACCATGCTTGCTTCTCTGCGTCGCACATAGAGTTTGTGAGACTGCCAAGGGGAGGAGGCATATACACGTAGTCCTCAGGCCGTACCATCGGCGTCAGCGTCTCTGCGTAGCGCAGAAAGTTGGCGCGAGCAGGTTCCTCCAAGCGCCCGAGTGCAAAGGCCACAATGTCATTCACCGGGGAGACAGTCAAGACTGGCGGGACAATCCGGTCAGCATTTTTTGCGAGAAGTCTACGAAGATGCCCTAGCAACAGGCGTTCCTCCAGCGCAGCAGAGGCAATGGGCGGCAATGCCACCCGCGCAGGACGGGCCATCTGCAAGACACCCTCAAACCCCTAGGTGACCCGTTACGGAAGCATTGTAAAACCAGTCCAGCTATGCCTGTTGCATGCGTCAGAACACCACCAAGGGTGAGGGCAGGAGATTCGTGCCCCTAGAGAACTGTAAGCCATCAGCACAGTCGACGAAGGTGCTGAATGAAAGATCTCACTCATTCTGTTGCACGGAAGCTGAGGCCGGGCACCGAAGAGCAGATAAAGCGAGAGGCCGCGCGGACCCCGAGGAGGCTGTGCGAGCCCCACTGCATCGAGCCAGACACTTCATTTCATAACGATGCGAGACAGAAATTGGTACTAAGGAGACAGATGTATGAATTCAATGGACCATTCGGGCATGCCCTCATGACTGCATTTTCACAGACACTCAGGCACTTGGTGAAATTTGATTGAGCTGCCGAGGCAGCTGTGGCGAGCGGAAGCAGGCACGATGTAAGGCGATCCCATTGAAAGAGACAACCTCTATAAACACTATCACCCTGCTGCCAGAGCCAGGCCCCTATGCACCGCGAATGAAGCCGACCAAGTAGGCATTGCAGCGTATGACCTGAAGATCAGCCGGCTTTGCGAGTCGCGGTGGGCTCCTATCATCACAGACCCAGAACTTAAAGTCCGTGTGTGCAGCAGAAGAACGGCTCAAGCGGCACGGCTAAGGCCGTTCTGTAGTGTCCTTGCGAGACCTCGTTACCTAAGTGGTAGATTATAAATGCAACTTGGAACGCCTCATGTCGCACTACAATCTCACCGTCAGCACCATCCTCACTGGCGTCGCCGAACATCGGTGTGGCAATTGTTTCGCCTGGCTCGATGTGCACAGCCCGACTGTTCTTCCGAGCAACCCCATCGAAGCTATATCGAACCAGTTGGAACACAACGATGCCATGATGATCAACGATTGCGTGCTTGGCATACTGACCAGATCAATCAGCTAAAAGCTCAGCCAGCGTCGCACCTGTGAGGTGAAGTTTGATTGGCTCCGAGAGTGGACCTGATTGCACAACGGCAAAGGGGAGGCTAAGTCTAGCTTCCCAGGATCCCTGATAGGCTCGCGGCTGCAGCACGCGCAGCACATGTCCCCAGAATTCCCCTGCATCATGTTGTTGCAGGGGTCGGGACCAGGAGCGCAGCACAAAGCGCCACGCAATGCTGTCAGGAATGCTGACCAGTCTAGCACTGCGCAGCATGGCCATGCCCGCCTTGGAGGCGGCATAGCACTGCACTTCGGCAGACGTCAGCTCGCCAATCCAATACATGGCCTGAACACTCGCATCACAGTAGCAGCAATTGCATTTATTGTCTAATCGCGCGAGTGGCAGTCTAAGTTTGGGGCGCAGCTGAAGCCGGACGTACCCTGGTCCGGCTCCCGCAAGGGATGTACCTGGATCCCCCGCGGCAGCTACTTGCTGGACCTCGAGGTCCAGTCGCAAAACTTGGTCGCCAGGTAGTCGGTCTCCACATGCTTGGCCAACGGCTGTGGAGCCAGTCGCTCGGGTCTCACTCGCATGCCCATGATCTTGCTGCTTAAGCACGCCCGGTCAGCAGCTGGAACACTTGATGGCAGGCATTGGCCGCTTGGCTCCGGAGCCCAATGTGAAGAAGAAAGGGGAGAACCTCCTCATAGCGCGCTCCCCTAGTCACTTATGGCATGAGTCTACCATTGCCTTGCGTGCACGATTACAGATTGTCTCCCCTACCAGCGCCCTCCATAAGCTTCTCACTAGACGGGCTAGGAGGAGCCAGGATGAGGCCGCCAAACATCTCTTCAGTGCTCAAGTCGCGTGGCTGAATAGCCGGGAGATCACGGCCACTTCCGAGCAGCACGGTCTCATTCCCGTAGATCCTGTGCCGGGAACTGCGTGTGACGTGTGTGGACAGTACTTCAGCTGCAGGCGCATTATGCTTACGCACATGGCTAAACGCCACCCAGAAGCCCGCCAACAGCTTCCGATGCCCAAAGCTCGAGAGTACACACGTCATACCAAGGATGGCATGCCGGAGTGCCTACACTGTGCGCGGAGGTTTACATTCATGTTTGGTGCTGTTTGCGCGTAGCAAGAAGGGTACACCAGAGGTAAGCAGTGGAGTCACTCCGACAGTAGTCGAGGCACAGGTACCCTGGACTGCTGCCGATCAGCTAGGTCGCTGTATCGATGCGGAGGGCTCTCTGCAAGCTTCTGTCACCCCTCACCTGGAGACCAGGCCCAATAGTCCCCTAGCTGAGAATTCCCAACTTCTGCAGAGAGCTCGCAGCAACTGGAAGGGAATCTTAAGCGAGGGCAGCCACAATTCCACAATGTGGCCCTGCGGACTTACTGCGCGCTGTGTGGTCAATACATCAGCATGATCGGTCCAGGCTTGAAGCAACACTACCGCTTGGTGCATGGTGACCTGTATGCGAAGCATGAGCGCGAGGCTGTTGCTCGCTGCAGCAGTCTTGGTCTGACCGTGCAAACGCCACGCAAATACTGTGACCGATCCTTTAAGGATCCTGCCAAGCATCTCAAACATTGCCCTGCTGTATTCCAGGCATCGTTTCTAGGTCTGTACGCCAGAGATTTGGATCCGACAGATGGCCGAAGTTGGGGAACGTGCCTCGCTGGCTCCTCAGGAGATCAACTCCGTGTTCGGGGCGGTCAACACGCAGGAGATGGAGACCGACAAGCAGGCGGAGGCTCCCACCACCCGGGCATGGCCAGGGGGACAGGGAAAGGAGCATCCTGGGATTCATGGTCCCGCGAGGCAAGCGTCAGTGGGAACCGGAGGAGGATACAGAGGAAGCCGCTCCATCGGGAGCCCGTCTGGATCGAGAGACGGAGCAACTCATCCAGAGCATGGTGAAATTGGCGCTGCGTCACGAACAGGAAATGGGGAGTTCCGGTCCGAGACGGGGTTCCTCATTTTCTTCGACACCCCATTTGCCCACGACCGCTCGGTCCTGCCCAAGCTCAAGTTGGTGGCGGAGGAATGGGGAAAGAAGTTCACCGAGGGGGCGGTCACCAGTCCTCTTCGTGTCATCCCGATACTGGCCGTGATCAAGGAGTTTCAGGAGCGCTTGAAGGAGGTTCCTGCAGGATGCCGGCAAGATGGAGAAGGCCGAGTCGGTGGAATGGGTGGCACAGGGGGCGACGGCTCTGGATCCAGCTTGGATCTACCATGTCTGGGATCCGAAGCAGAAAAAGCAGGTTCGCTCGCAGCAGCAGCCAGCGACCACGACCCAGATTCAGAATGGCCTCGAGGTTCTGCTTCAGAATCTGGGCACGGAGGGCGTGTGCCTGAACTTTCGCAACACGAAGAACATGGAGGACGAATACACCTAGCCCTAAGCGCCCGCGAGTCATACATGTCAAGTTTCCGGAGCACAGCCTCTGTGAGACCGACGGCATGCACACCATAATGCGCAACAGAACGGATGCAAGCCTGGTACAACTGCACTCTGTGAGACAGGGGCAGGCCGAAAGCATGCAGGGTTTTAATCAGCCTATGCCGATTCCGCTGGGCTGCCTGGATTCTGTGTAAGCAGGTCTGGTACTCGAAGTTTTGGTATGACATGACCACACCCAGGTAAGTCATCTTCTGTGCCCTGGGTATCAGAATGGGTTGATCCGGCGTGCCAACGCTGAGCAGTGGACCCTGAACACTCCTATGAAGATGCTGTTTCAGCCATTTACGCGCTGCCGAACCCCTGATTGCCACTACCACACAGGACTTACTAGGATTCACCGTCATGCCGACGCGTCGTAGTACACGAAAGGTGCTCTGCACACAGTGGCAAAAGAAGTGCAGATCCTGCAGGCTCTCAATTCGCCAGTGAAGATGTGAATCATCTGCGAATAGCGTATTGCATGCACTGCTGTGTCCTGCTGTAGCTGGTCTCTTTGGCAACCAAGTCGAGCACCCAGAAAGTAAACAAAGAGTAGAGGCTCGGAGCCAGCGTGCAGCCCTGGCGAACTCCACGTTGCATGGGTATGGTACTAGTGTGTCCATTATGCCGGAGTGTATAAGAACACCGATTGCCTCGCATGATGATTCCTCTACCTGCGCATGTCGCAATGAAACATGGGCCCACCTAGGAATACAGTCGAAGGCTCTACTCAAGTCAAGGCTTAACATGATGGCCCCGTAACAGGAGCTGCTTTGCTGCCCCGCTCTGCGTGCATGTACGCTGGTGGCCCCAGCCTGTATCCTATCCCTAGCATCGCGACAATGCGTAGAAACCCTGGCGATGGCTTCATCTATCGCCTGCTGCGGGCAATATGCATACTGCGGCATGCGCCGGAGCAGAGCCGCAGTTTGCTGCTCAACGCGCCTTTTCAGGATGTTAGCAAACACCTTAGAACCCGGATCCTGCCACCCAAGGGGTCTTAAGTCCGAAGGACTACGACTGGGCCGATGAGGTTTAGGTAGTAGCGCAAGCTCACAATCGGTGGTGGGACTAGAGTAGCAGTGCCCTGCTGTGACGGCATGATTCAATTCTAGAAGCACGCAAACTGCGCAGAGCACAGCTGCCACAGTTCCGCCGGCGGGCTGTTTCGAGGTACAGCTTTACCCCTCTGCAGTCCTTCTATGGCCATTTCAACCTCATCAACACCAATGGAGAGTCCTAAACCGCTAGGGGCAAGGGTGAAGGAATCCTCTCTGCTGTAGGCTTTATGAAAAAGTACTCATGTATGGCCTCGAACTGCGCACGCTGCGTGAGCAGCTTCCCATCTTCGGCTCGAATGCACACAGAAGCTCGGCGGCTCTTGGGAGCAATGACCTTGATGATGCGATAGATTTCGCTAAGATTATTTTGTCGCGCAGCCTGGCTAGCCAAGTCAATGTAGTGCTGTAAGCGCTGTCTTCTAGCTCTACGACTATGGGTCCTAAGCTGGCGACTACACCTCACAAAATCAAGGTATCTCCTCCAGGCCGAGAAGATCTGCTGAAAACGACTGCCCGCAACGCGAACGCGCAAGCGACGATGGGCTTGCCACATAGCCTGAATACTAGGTTTCACCATGGCCCTTGCTGCCTCTGGCTTGGGAATGCCTTTAAGCAATGACCTACCCGAGCCTAGAACCTCTTGGCAGGTAGTAGCAGTAGTAATAGTAGTAATAATAATAATAATACTAATAGTCGCAATAGCAATAGCAATTGTAGTAGCAATAGGAATAGGAACCATAATAGTAATAGTATCGGTAGTAGTAATAATAGCATCAGTCAACAATCGTAGTAGTACTAGTTATAGTCATTAGTAGGATTAGGAAAAGTATCAGCAATAGTAATGAGAATACTCATGCTACTAGTCATTTTGTAACTGCAGTAATCATAATAACAATAATGGTACGAATAATGGTGACTAGTAATAGCCACAGTCACAGTCATAGTCATAGTCATAGCAGTAAGATCAACAGCAGCAGCAGCTGGAGTAGTAGTAGTGGTAGTAGATAGTATATAGTAGATAGTAGATAGTAGATAGTAGTAGTAGCAGTAGCAGTAGCAGTAGCAGTAGCAGTAGCAGTAGCAGTAGCAGTAGCAGTAGCAGTAGCAGTAGCAGTAGTAGTAGTAGTAGTAGTAGTCGTAGTCGTAGTCGTAGTCGTAGTCGTAGTCGTAGTCGTAGTCGTAGTAGTAGTAGTAGTAGTAGTAGTAGTAGTAGTAGTAGTAGTAGTAGTAGTAGTAATAGTAGTAGTAGTAGTAGCAGTAGTAGTAGTAGTAGTAGTAGTAGTAGTAGTAGTAGTGGTAGTAGATAGTAGTAGTAGTAGTAGTAGTAGTAGTAGTAGTAGTAGTGGTAGTAGTAGGAGTAGATAGTAGATAGTCGTCGTAGTATTCATGACGGAAATACTAGAAAAATAGAAGTAGCAGTGGCGATTTCTGATTGAATGTTTGTTTTAGCCTGGTTGAATCTTTCTTGATCCTGATTAGGTTGTTTTGTCCTGATTAAATCTAATGCCTCTCCAGTACGGATTCAGAGCCTGGCAGGGTAGTGGTAGTAGTAGTAGTAGTAGTAGTAGTAGTAGTAGTAGTAGTAGTAGTGGTAGTGGTAGTGGTAGTGGTAGTTTTTTCCTCCTGTATGGCTGAGTACACGAAGCAGGGCAATTTGTAACAACTCGGGACGAATTCTACCTGATGTGTAGTATAAGTGGTAGTAGTAGTAGTAGTAGTAGTAGTAGTAGTAGTAGTAGTTTTTGTAGTAGTAGCAGCGGTAGTAGTAGTAGTAGTAGTAGTTGTTGTTGTTGTAGTTGTAGTAGTAGTTGTTGTTGTTGTTTTTGTAGCAGTAGTAGTAGCAGTAGTAGCAGTAGTAGTACTAGTAGTAGTAGCACCAGCAGCAGCAGCAGCATTGCAGAGATCGCGTTTCTTTGCAGCGTCCGGGGGAAGTAGTGCTAGTAGCAGTAGCAGTAGCAGTAGCAGCAGTAGTAGTAGTAGTAGTAGTAGTAGTAGTAGTATATAGCAGTATATGGTAATATATAGTAGTATATAGTAGTATATAGTAGTATATAGTAGTATATAGTAGTATATAGTAGTATATAGTAGTATATAGTAGTATATAGTAGTATATAGTAGTAGTAGTCGTAGTAGTAGTAGTAGTAGTAGTAGTAGTAGTAGTAGTAGTAGTAGTGGTAGTAGTAGGACCCTGGGGCCAGCTCTGCTGCTCACACAAGCAGCACCAGCGCCCAAACACAAGCAGTCCCACATGACCCCGCGCCGGAGGAGAAAGTGGACGTGCCATCTTCCAGGGTGGCCGTCACGTATCAAGGTCCGGTCACGACCACGCAGCTCCTCGACTACAGCGAGAACCCATCTCCAGAGCAGGAGGCCAGCCAACTCCCCAAGCACGACCAGATCATCCAGATCTGCCAATCAGATCAAACGCTGGAGTGGTTTTACTCCTTCGCCACAATCTCCATCATGAAGGAGCCGGCTATTACGGGAGGTCTGACTGCGTCTGAGCAGGTTATCATGTGGAGCAACCGGATTGCAGTCCTCGGCCGTGTCCCGTGGATCTTTGCCCCCATCAAGCTGGTTGCCACTGACAAAGATGCTACTTGGCAAGACATTACAGCAGCAAAGCTTCTAGTCGGGGCCACTGGCCATTTCATGCTCTCCATCGGGAAGGACAGCCGCTATGTCGAGCTAAAGCCACCACAGCCTACTGTGGCACAGTCCATTCCCTCTTCCAAACGATGTGGGACCGGCCTGAAATGGATGCCCGACTGGAGACTGATGACAATTTCGAGATTGTGGCCTCCACGGTCAAGTGCATCTATGACCAAACTAGCCGCAAATGTGGCGGCATGAATCCAGCCGTTTTCTATCAACCCGAAGATGGCCGAGTACAGCGGCAGCTGCGCATTCAGCTTAACAAAGGTGACACCCCGACCTTTCTTTGGCACCGCCAAAAGGAACAGCGGGACAAAAGACAGGGAGATGAGCCGTCGACCCAGACGGACAAGCGCCACCGAGATGGAGAGGCATGGCCAGAAGCTGCTGGTCTGGCGGTCGATGGAGGGTCAGGCTCCGGCTCCAGCGGAGGCTGCCAGTTGCACCAGTGAAGACTTTTTCTCACCCGGTGCCAATGGCTGCCAGACTAGATGCAAGCGGAGGCACTGCCTACTTGTATCATTCTTCTTCACACTTTTCTTCCTGCACCGGCAGGCTGATGGCTCTCTTGCACAAGAGCCGCCGCCATCACGCTGAGCAAAATGGTCGCATGCAAGAGTGGAGATTCAAGAGCCGCGAGCGGTCAGCTGCAGTCATGATGTTTCATTCTCTGTACCGCGGAGGCAGGCTGCCCTGTGCACATCCCAGATATCTGATCGGCTGCTTTGTACATACATTGCAGGCCGAAGCTCTAACTACTACCAACTGGATCACTTCTCAGACTTCTCAGACCATACAGGGTCACCGGGTCAGTTTCACACTTCAGTGAGTGCACATGCGGCAATCGCCCACAACGTGCTGAGCCCGCTCGCACGGCGTCCAATTGAAATAGTAGCAGGAGGAGTAGTAGGAGTAGTATTAATGGCAACAAATTGGCAATGGCCATAGAAAAAAAACATTCGCTGCGAGCGAAATAGCAAAAATAGTGAAGAAGTAGAAATAGAAATAAACCGGCGACTGGCAACAGTAATCGTAGACGTAATACTAACAGTACTAGCCATCAGAAGTTTGTAATCAGTGCTTGGTAGCAGCAATGCAGAAACAGATATGGCAGTAGAAGCAGCAGTAAGAACACTACCAGGAGTAGCTGTTGCACTTGTCGTAGTGACTTTAGCTGTAGCTGAAGCTGCAGCGTTGATTGCAGTACTACTTGTAAGTGAAGCCGTAGCCGTGGCCGCGG